GGAAGTGCTAAACTTGCTGTCATGATTTTGAGACATTCTCATCCAGAACTTGATCTTGTGTCTTCATTACCTCTGTTTTGTGATATTCTTTATAGTAGACTTTTCATTAGAAGGTGGATTCCTAGTAGGAGCCAGCCAGAAAGTGAGGCATTTCTTTTCAAGTCAGATTTTTCGATCTGGAATACAGTTACATCTGATTTACTTTTATGTCTGATTTACTCCATTTGGATTGATACTAAAATATTTGATTTTAAATTCCTTAATAACATCTGCCCTTGACTTCTGATGTTAATTTATTTATTTTTGCTACCTGTATGGATTAGAGGTTTTCCAGGGGATTTTTACCTAAATTAAACTCTTGACTTGGTTTCCCATGAGGAAACTTTTTCAGTCTAGTAGCATCTGCTCCATATGTGTCTTTTAATGAAAATAGCCTTTCCGACATCTGTTAGGCTGGTTAAAAATAGAAGAATTTGGGAAATTTGGACCCTCCCCTTTGTGGAAGATTCCTTTTTAGGAAAATATCATTGCCTGGTTTCAACTTGGAAAATCAAAAGCTGTCTGCATTTCATACTGATCAAGATGTCAGTATATCTAATTGTGTTTTTTGGATAAGAAAAAAGAAAAAGACCACTTTCTTTTCATACAACTTACCTTCCTGTGAATTTCAGCATGAAGACTGTAAGCTCATCTTATTTTGACAGCTGTGTTGTAGCTCCCATTGGCAATTCTGAGACATGCTCACTGACCTTGCTGGGCCATCTTTGTTGCACATAATGCAATCCAAAAGAGTACCAGGGATTTTCTGCGCTGTGAATCCGTGCACTGTCATCCACAAGAGAAGAGAAGGCTGCCTGTGTGTAGCTAGGAGGTAACTGATAGGTGTTGTCCCTGTGTTGCTTACGATACACTGCCTTCTATTCTGCTCTGAATATCCTTTAGGAAAATGTTGGATTTGCAAGAAACTTAGTTAATTGTTCAAGCTGTTTATAATTCAGGCTGGAGAAGCATAGTAACAGGACATGCTCTCCATCACTGCTAATAAGGCTGAAACGTCATTAGTTCAATTGTTTGCATGTATACACACAGATATATGTGTGTGTATGTATATATGTGTATATATGTACTCAATTTCTCTTAAGTAATTTTAATGTTGTGTTGGCAGTTCTTGACTTTATTATCATTTCCTCGGGGAAAAGAATATGTCAAAGGTGAAGAAAGAGGTACTATTTCCACACATGCATAAAAACATTTCAACAAAAATACCTATTTTTATTGCAAATTGACTTCCCATACTTGAAATAGTGTTTGATCTTTCCAGAATCAAAAGATTCTGAAAATATTTTTCACTGGTTTTTCACTAAGATTTAGTCATGTTGGCTGTCCTTTTCAAATTGAGCAGGATGTTCTTTTATCTTCTTTAAACATGATAAAATATCTGTTAAGGTATCAGTCCTTTCCTATTTGATTTTTTCCTGCTTTTCAAGTGCCTAGGTTTAAAGATAAGTATCAGAAATTCTCAATTTTTACCTCTGCACTCTTAGGAGTTCACTGATGCTGCAGAGGTGAAAGCCATACATTATCCACAGGGAATGGTGTTCCAGTTTGCTCTCTTTAGTCAGCTTGGCTGTAACTGTTATTTTACTTTTTGGATGAGGACATTTTCAGGTGGTCTGACATCCTCAGCACTGTTGCTCCTTTTAAAGAAGGTATGAAACTGAAGCACTTGCGGTGTTTTTTTTTCTATGAGCTTGTGACAGGAATGAAACCCCTTCAGTGATCAAAATGCAGTGTCAGTGAAACTTCTGAGATGCTTTCCTTTACTTGACATCAACAGAAGAAGATAGTGAGAGTACACATATATCAGATTGCACATTCTTGTAGTTGCCTTGTGATTTATGCTGTATTTGAGAGAAAAACCTGTCTTTGCTGTTGGATGTGAGGTCTCTGAGAGCTGCTACTGGGTAACTCAACTCATAAGTCAGTTCCCATTTGGACTTGCTTGTAGTGAGACTCTTCTTGTAGACTATTACTTAAAAAGTAGTATTCATTACCTGTACACTGAGTTCTCTGACATGTATAGGTTTCTAATTCAGCTTCCTGTTTTACTTATTTGCCTTGTTTGTTTTCAGAATTCTACTATCAAGACTGATGTAAACTTATGTCCTTATATGCTGATGATAAAAGAATACAGGGTATTAACATAAGATGGTCAGCATTGCAGCACTTAAATTCTTAGCACCTCTTGTGGTAAGGTGTATGGGTTTTACATTTTGAATATAACTGTGAACTACATGTCACAAAAAAAGCCATATGTTACTAAGGAAACTCTTCTCAATTATTGATTTAGCAAACAGATAAAGAAATAATACCAACAACATGCGTTGTGCATGGATTTCAGAGCATTTTCAACAACAACAATAATACTAGTAATAGCAGTATTAGCAATCCCAGTGGCACTTCTGTTGTGTTTCTGGCATGTGTTCCTGTTTCTAATTTTTAAGATTACATATTTCTGCATTCAGCTTTAAAAATTGCATATTTACATACTGGACATCTGAATTTCTTGTAGTTCAAGTGGTTCTGACGAAAACTTTGCACCTTTTATGCAGATGTGCATGCTCCTGTTTGTGCAACACATCTTTGTGGTCAGAAGTGTGTGATTATTTCAGTTTTAATGATCTGCCTGTCTGAAAAGCCAAGAGTCAACAAATGATACATCTTCTGGGGATTCAGTAGTATCTGGAATTCAATACCATTTAAAATCAATGCAAATTACACTGATTTTTTTAGTTTCTATGGTTTAATATTAATGATCCTCTCTCTTGCACCCTGAGTAGGGTATTAAATGCTAAAAATATTGATAATTTCAATGGAATATTGTGGAGATTTTTTCCTAGTCTAATCTCAGTTTTTTTCTGGCTAACTTTAGGAAAAAACTTACAACTAAAAACATTTTCTCAAGATGCTGAGAAGTACTAGTAAATATACAAATTTAGTAAGATAATTGAGGAAAAGGAGTTAATAGTGATTCTTCCTGATAGAACCTGGAGAATGAATTTATGGCATTGCTTCTGTCCACTACCTTAACATTCTTTTATGTAGTTATTCTTAAATTAGGTATAAAGTTGTTATAGTACGGTGGAATTTAGGTATTTCTGTTTCTATTTTGCTGTGAAATGCCCTGTTCAAATTCAAGTGCCATTATCCTTATTTATCCTTTCTTAAGTAAGAATTTTACCACACTTGTTGGATGCTATTTCATGTAGTATAAGAATAGAATATCTGCCTACAGTTGGTACTGAGCTAATAATGTTCAAAGTGTACAATTTAAGTACACTTTAAGTGTTTTAAGTGTGCCTTTTAAGTGTTTTATTTGATGACCAGGCTGGAGGCAGTCAGTCAACTGAAGTACAACAGTTGATTTTCAACCTAATTTAATTTGAAAGACATTCTGATTATGTGCTCTGCTCTGTGATGAAAATCAAAGTACGGTCAGTAGAAATGATTTCTTATTTTACATCAAGATTTTTATCTGAACTAAAATGCAAAAAGGTGTGTTTACTTCAATGACACATCATCATGTGGCTGCACAGCTATGCAGACAATTCTGAAATGGCCTAGTGACATAAAATGTTAACTCTACCTGATTTTATTTTCTTCTACTGTCACAGAAAAACCAATAAAATAAATTGTAAATTCCATCCTCTTCTGCTTCTATATCAAACCCTTTGGCTGAGACAGCCTTCAGTTTCACTTTATACTGAAAATGGATGGAGTGTCACCATTATCCTTTACACTGAGTCTCTGGGGATAATCAGTGCCATATGACTTATGAATGCTGCACTGTCAGAGGAATTTTCACATTGGTAGACTAGATCTGTGTTGAGAAATATTCTGTAAAACCCTTAAGGTATCACTGTGGTTTGGAGGGGAATATGTCCAATTTAAAGGCAAAAGTTTAAGGCCATTATATGAAGCCTGCTGCTTTGTAGAAGTGCCAATATTAATGCACTTGTTTCTTGCATCAAGAAGTACTGATAGCTGGAAAAAATGTGTTCCTTAGTAAGAAAAAAAAAAAAGTAAAAACTTAGTTTAGGATTCTGGGAATTGTAAAGAAATTATTGTCTTGAACCTTGCCTTGAGAAGGAAGAAGACAAATATGAGGAAGGAGATCTTATGGAATTCATGACATTGATGCAAAAACAGGGATAGGAAAAATAAGAAAAGCAGCTAATTGAATTATTTTTTAGTGTTCCTTGTGCGGATTTAGTAAACAATGTGCAAAGTATGTCTGGAGTGAGAATTCAGTGACCTAGTATATAAGAAAGTCAAAATTTCTGTTGAAAATACGCAATCAGTAAGCCATGGAAAAAGCCAAGTCTTTTGTATATGATCTACAGAAGCTGTTTTCCTGGAAGCATTCAGCTGCACCTAATGAACTGTATTAGGTTAGTATACAGGAGTGTAGGGAGTATGAATATTGGTATGTATTAGTCTATGTTATATTAAGTGTTTCAAAGATTTTTTTCAAAACTGTTATTTTCCTGCAAGTTTATCATAGGCTCTTATTGACGTCAGCTTTCAAATATTTGCACCAGAAAATGAGATTTGTCTTGTTTTGCTACATCCGGAGTTATACAAAATTTGTGAACTACTTTCATTCCTTTGCAACTACTGGGTCATAAACTTGGATTAGTTTTATAGGATTTGGTGTATGAGTTGACAGATGTGATATATGATGACACTTTATCTTTTATTGCTTACACATACTAGTTATTTGGAAAGGATGGGAGCAGTTCCTATTAACCGTAAGATGGGATTTCAGTTGCTTACCCAAGTGTCTCTCATTCATTCATTCATTTGCTATCAGTTATAGCAGATATATTGCTTCTTCAAGCCTGTCACACCAATAAATCATTTCAGAGCGTATGCATTTGTACAGTGCCAAAGTGTACCATGAATTTTAAAGGAAATCTTCTATTTTTCTTTTCAATCAGATGAGCAACGTGAAGAGACTACGGCCACGGCTCAGTGCTATTCTTTTTAAGCTTCAGTTTGAGGAGCAGGTGAACAACATCAAACCTGACATCATGGCTGTCAGTGCTGCCTGTGAAGAGATAAAGAAGAGTAAAAGCTTTAGCAAGCTACTGGAACTAGTATTGTTAATGGGAAACTACATGAATGCAGGTTCTCGGAATGCACAGACCTTTGGATATAATCTCAGCTCGCTATGTAAAGTGAGTTTTAAAATGTCCATGTTGAGTATTGCATTCACTTTTTTTTTGTTTTAGAATGTTGCATAAATACTCTGGTTTTGATGTTTTTCCAGCAGTTAATTATTTGCTTACTATTTATTTTCCTTATTATTGGCATTGGTTGATAGTTTCAACAGTACAGCTAATCCATGAATAGTCATCTTAGAAGTGATTTGCATTTAATCACTTTTGAGTCTATTTTGAGGGAATAGTAATAAACCCAAACTAATTAAGGTTATGTAAGGATCTGATCACTGTGATCATAGCAGTTTTGTAATTTTAACATGTCTGAGCACTTCTAAGACATCTATCACATTTTAGTATGTTTTAATACAGTTATGTTTTCCTTTGGACATGAATTTACTCCTTATGTGATTCTCTTATGTTGCTTAGTTTCATCAGTTTCTTGCTTCTGATTTTTCTTAAATTTGCACTATTTCAACTTTTGTATAAGGTATATACAAGAACGTGTCTATACTTTTCTGGGTGGTAATTTATAATCCATTCTAATGCTAATTACCTTTCCCATATTTAGTGTTGTTATTTTTTTCCTGTGCTCTCTGGAGATTACTGAACAATCTTCAGAGTGCACATATAGTTCTTACAAAGAAGGAATTATTTGAAACTTTGTATGTACTCTTTGTCTTTCTGTTTCTTTATCCTTTTGCACAAGAGAAAACCCAATATGTTAACTTCTACATTCATGAAACTAATCACCCTTATTCTGCCAGATTTCAGAAGAATTCTTTCACTGAGTGTTGAATGTGATGCCTATGATACATATGACATATTCATAAAGAATAAGTTATATTATTTCCCTAGTCTAAAGTAAGCATTAAGCATGAGTCATCTGCCCAGAGTTAATACATTGTAGATGAAATGATTGAGTTAAAAATACAACTTGTTGAAGAACATATTCAGAAGGAAGATACTAAAGGTTATTTATCCAATTTGGTGCATTTACTTAAGTATGATTTTACAAGAATCTGTCCTAGGTCTGGTTATATTCTCTGTTTTTTTAATGCACAGGACAAAAAATATATTTATGAAAATAATGTGAAGGTAATTGATACAAGCACTTTGCAGAGCAGGATCAAAAGTCAGAATTTTTCTTGGAGAAATAATTTATTAAGATGTAGAATATGAAGATTTTGAAGATAACCATGGAGTACTAGATATAGGAGAGGGAATCGATGTATATAGATAATGAAGGTATGGGATGAATGACTGTATTAGTTCCTCTGCATCAGAGAGCAGCCATGAGTAATCTCAGAAGAGAGATACAATATTTATATGCTAATACTCAATCATTCATTAATTACTGATGTATTAAAATTATATGCATGTTTATAACACAGGTGCATATTTATAGCTAACTATTGTTATGTATCACAGTGTATTACATGTACCACAGTGTCACATTGTAGAAATTTTTTGTGGTGTTATTGAGACATCTTTCATCAAAGTTCCCAACACAACAGAAGCAACATATTTTGTAACATTGCATACAGTAAGGTTCCTAGAATATATTTTTGGGTTTTGATATATATGTGTTCCATTTCCTGTTTATTTGGAAAACTGTGCTATTAATCCACTTTTCTGAAGGACAGCATGCATGCTCTGGGAGAGTATATCTCAGCATTGTAGCATTTTGATCTTTGGAAATAAAGACACTTTTTAGAGTTAATTATGAAAAATCAATACTGTGTTAAGGACTTGGTGCGGTGATATTCAGATGGACAAGTCCTTGTGTAATTGTGACAGCCCTTTTTTACTCCTGTTTACTTTGTGCCTACAAGCTTGTATACTTTTCCTGCTAAATTTTTTTAATGCAGAAATAGTTCTTAAGTAGTGTATAAACACTTTCATATGTGATGTCATTTTCTATTTATAGAAATGTCTTTGATTTAAAAGAAGATCTCTTGAAAGACTACAACAGAAGTGTTTGTCAGTTGTCAATTATTAGTATTTTTACACAAGTAGATGCATGTTTAAAAGTGGCCATGCTTGAAAATTATTTTAGATGTATAAAGAGTCCAGATAGAAAGCTTTACACTTAAGGATTCTTTAAGTCAACGTTCTTACACAATGAGACCTATGAACTCTTTTTTACTGTATTGAGAATTGATAACAGGAACTTTTGCATGTTGAGGCTGTGTAGCTTCCACTACATAACTATATTTAGGCTAGAGTTAATTTCATACGTTAAAAGGAAATCATGTAATCAGTGGATATGTGCATTATGTATAGTTAGATTTTGCTGATTTTTTTTGCTATAGTTAGATTTTATCTTCAATTTTTCTTTTTTGCACTTTCACGTGCTTATTCACTGTTTTGTAAATATCCTTATATTGTTGAAATAATTGCATTTTTAGAAGAAATATGTGTACTGTTTTTGAATACGGAACACAAAAATTGCATGAAATTAAAAAAAATACTTAGTGCAACATTTCTAGGGATTTTTAGCAAGGGGGGGAAATGAAACAGCCTGTTTCTATCGTTACAAAAAGTACTACTCTAATAGTTTGCTCTTTCCTTTCTCAGATGAATAATTACTAATATATAGCAATTATTAAAATGGCCAGAACTAAAATTTTTCTCAGTGTTTTTACATTTCTTTTTTTCCCCCTGCCCAGCTGAAGGACACAAAGTCGGCAGACCAGAAAACCACGTTGCTTCATTTTCTTGTAGAAGTTTGTGAAGAAAGGTATCAGGATGTCCTGAATTTTGTTGAGGATTTTCAGCATTTGGATAAAGCTAGTAAAGGTTTGTGTAACTAACTAAAAGTTTTGATTTTGACACATTACAGTGTCTTGTGTATAAGATGATGCTTATATTTTACTAACAATATTAAAAAAATAGATATTAATAGTCAGTATCACAGATCAGCAATTTAAGCTGCTGCAAATAGTCTTGAAGATACTTATTTTTTGGTCCTCTAATGTTTACTGCAGGACTTCCCATTACATTTCTTCTAACATATTTTCTAGAACCATTTCCCTTACTGGATTTCTTTTAAAAGTTATTTTCTGTAACCAGATCCTAATTCCAATCTTTAATCTTTTATAAAGTAGAAAGGCTGTCATGACATCACTTTATTTTATTTTATTTTTTTCAAAACATGGAACAGTTTTGTCTTCCCTACATGTATATTTTACATGTATCCAGCAGAGTGTTTTGGAATGTATTTCTTAATTAAAAGTGCTTTTTCCACATTTTATCAGTTTAAGTAATTTAAACAGACAAAGCATAGAGGTAGAAATTGATGGTACCTTAACACTGTCCTTCTCTAGCAGGAAAAAAGCGATTGGATGGGCTCAGTTAAAAATATTTTAATTTATGTCAGTTTAGAAAATATCACAGTTTATCTATAATGCTTTGTAGAGTGTCACTCTCATACCTCAGTCAGTCTTCTGCCACAAATTACAACTTTGCAAAACCTGCCTCTGACAGAGGACTTGAGATAGTGGTCACTTACATAGAGTTCACTTTCTGCTTCTTAAAATTTCCAGTTTTACTTGGTGTATTATAACCCTGGAAAAGTTCAATTATTTTTAATTAGTTGTCAAATGCTTCAAGCCCTTCACCTAACTGTTTATACTGGTAATAGAAACAGTTTCTGCTGTATATTAATTTGGTGTGTTTGGCATTATTTTCAGTGTTAACTGGTAACTGATTTTTTTTATCACTAATATGTTATTGTATGTATTGTGCTTGAGTTTACTTTTATCCTTAATAGAAGGCAGTATTTTCAGTGTAGACAGTTGTCTTATTTGACACTGCTGACTGTTTTCTGTTAAAATTCTGAGATCTAGATCACTGACCATTCAGAGAGTAGCCAGTAAAATTATCAGTTAGTCCAGGCTTTTTGTTCTCTTCTAGGTATCTGGTAATGACTTGTTGAGTCTTTGATCTCACTCAATATGATGGAAATCAAATTTATATATTGAATTTACTGCAGTGTATTCTGAGACGCATTTTGCATTTCAGTTTTACTGTATGAAAAAGACAAAGGCGTAGGATATCTTTAAAAGATTAGGGTATCAGTGTGATGTATCAGTATATCAAGTATAAACAATAATCAGTATTGTTTATACTTATTTCTCTACCTGCAAAACTCCATTCTGTTTTTGAAAGACTTCTGCTGCACTGGAATTTTGGAAAACCCGGTGGATCACAGAAACTGTAACTCATGGAGTTTTTTTAAACCTTTTAGTACTTCTGCAAAAGTACATTTTTATGAAGCAAGTTGATTTAATATGCACTGACTTTTGTACAGTAAATTTTTAATGAAGTGGCTACTTTTGCTTGAGCTTAGCAGAAGGTCAGTTATAAAGTCTGTGAATCTGTTCAGTCACATCCACTGTAATGGTCTCATGTATTACTGATATGCTGATGAAGTCTACCAAGCTGACCAAGAGAGCTGGAAAATCATGGTAGGTATTACAGCAGATATTACAAGCCAACATTATGGCTACTAGGAACAGTGATAGAGGGGGAATAATCAAAAATCCTTATATAGTCAAATATGTGTATTCCAGAAAAAGAAATACTTGTTGTTTTAGAACAGAGCTTTGGTACTGAGGGCTTAGAGGATTTCCTCCATTCTAAGATATTGTAATTTAGGGTTTAGTAGAAATAAGCCATCCTGATTTGCATTTCTGGGAGGCAATTTACACTTATAGTAAATCTGGAAAACCACTGGATGCAAATATTACATCTAAGCGTTACAGGTTGCTGATAGCACAGAAGGGAGGAAGTCAGCCTTGGATTTTCCTGTCATCCAATAGGAAAGTTCTATTCACACATATGCTGCTTTGTTCTGCAAAGTTATTGGGTGAAGAGACAAGATCACTCTTTCCTGCTTTTCTGTCATATTAATATATTGTTCAATATTTTCCTGAACCAGAGATAGTATTTTGTTCCAGTACTTGTTTTTAAATCCTAGCTTTTGTCTAGCTTTTGTCCTGGCAAAGGTTAGGGCCTTGTACAGGTGGTAGAGTTAAATTCCCTTCATGGTTTTACTGAACTTTGTTTTCTGAAGCAGTTTTTTAAAAATACTTTCCAAGAATAAATCTATGAAGTTAGATAAGAATATTCTATTCTCCTATACCTTTGTTGCAAGCTGGTTTTTATTGAGCTGGTTTTATCACCTGTCTGCATATTCATGTCTTCAGATACAATAATTTCACATTCTTTATCTGGCATAAAAGTATTATTTGCAGGTGTTCTTTAAATTATAAATCAAAATTAATGTGGTAGAAAGATGGGTAAATTCCATTTAAGCAATATTAACAGAAAACTTGAAGTTGAACATATGTATTTTTATATAAAAGTGGAACTCTATTGTTAGTTTTGGCTTGATCATCTTCAAGTAATTGTTGATTCTTCTACAGGTTTCTCAAAACAAGTTTTTTAAAAGATGCTTTTTTTTTAGAATTCTTCCTTGACATGACTGTCCTTGTATCAGCCAGCCTATTCGTAGCATGCCTTGGATTTTTTCTGTTTTATACTTGCCCATTCTTAAAACTTCTCTTTCAAGTATTTCTTATTCAAAATGGTGAACATTAGAACATCACAATGTTTAGGAATTCATTTTCTTTATATACTTTCCAAAAGAAACATTCATGCTTCTTTAATTTCATTAAACATTGTCCAGTGATCATACAGTGAACTGTTAAAATAACTTGTAAGACTTCAAGAGCAGTGTCAAGTGACTACACCAAGTTAAAGGTGAAGCTAATGTATTTTATAGTGTTTTATAAATGATGGAATATTCATAGTACGTAAATTAATTGTTGCAGGAAAAATATTTTTAAAAATCTGATTTTGAGAGGCAAACAGTAAGGGATGTATGACCTGTGCAACTGAAATTTGCTTCAGGGTATTTAAGGTATTTAATTTGTGATTTTAGATTTTTTCCATTGTATGTTAAAGTTTTGGTTTTTTACTTTTGTAATACTAGAAGTAGATTTAATTCACTGTTACAGTACATGAATTAAAGATACCTTTTTACTTTGAAGTGTAACAAATCCGTTTTCCAAGTGCTCTTAGATCAGCAGGAGGAACTTTCATTGCAGCTAATGAGCTTACAGATATGACAGTTCCTGAAGATTTATATAATTAAAGCTGTCCTTTCTTTTAAACATAATGGCTTCCCTGATTTTCTGTTAGTATTCCAGACAAGAAATATTTTGGTAATTCTGTACAATTTACTAAATTCTTTTTTTTATGGTATTATAAAGCTTTATATTGCATTTATGCAGGCTGCTGTTTTACTTGATTGACTCTAATTTACACAGACCTTACAGGTGTGATAGAGGACTGTGTATTGAGTCTTTCATATGGTACTAACTATAAAGCTGCAGATTTTCCTTTATATAAAAGACATTAACTCATCTCAGCTTTACAAGTAACATATCCATTTTCTCCATTTTGAAACTTCATGTAGTTTCTTTCTAGATAATTTCACTTCAAAATTAAAAAAAAATCTAGGAACCAAATTCAAAATGTGAATTTTAAACTATATTAATGAAAAATGGGACACCTCCACCTATAAAACATAAGGACATTAGGGCAGCATGAGAGAAAAATAGTAAGATATATGTCATAAGAATTCTATATGTCATAAGGAAAGGGTGTTTTTCTTATTAGAGAAAAGGTAGCAACAATTTTCTCAGTACTATTAAATAATATATTTATGCTATGCATTGCTTCGGAGGCTCTTGTTTTCAGGCCATCAGGGTTCTATACTCTGTAGGGGAAAAATGTGGGTATCTGCTGAAATACAAAAAATATCAAATGGATTACACAGAAATCAACTGCAAGAGGAACCTTAAAATGGTGGAAAAGGCAATTAAAAAAACTGAATGCATTGTTCAGATGTATAGACCCTAGAAGGTGAGAAAGCTTAATTTTAATGAGTAGGAAGGTGCTGAAATTGCATTTAGATGTACATGTAGACTTGTGTATCTTGCTACCTATATACCTCAAGGAGTTAGAGTGACAATATTGGGTAGAAAACTGATAAATGTGGCTACTTTAAGACTTTTATTCTTAACCCTACTAGATCTTCATTGCCATTTCATGCTAATAGTTCATTTGGAATCATTATTAATCATTAATCTCACCGCATATTCAAAACAGTTCGTTATTAACAATCATACCCTAAATTATCTGCAAGTATACAACATGCTGCAGTCAGCTCAGCACTTTGTGGTCCCCAAGGAAGCAGGTGGTGAGGCTCAAGAACTCTTCAGCAAGGGAAGCTGCAACTAATGCAAGGGTCTTCTTTCTGCTCCCTCCTCTGAATTTAATTTCTTTTTTTATAAGATGGTTTGTCTCTTGATAGATCCTGGTCCACCACTGTACCATATCGCTGTGTGCTGTGCAGCAGTAGGGGACCTTGATCGCTGTGCTCAGGGCTGGTGCCATATCCTGTTGCTTGGCCATTTTTTCCTGCTTGCTTTAGCAGCTGCTTTTCTTTCATTAGCAGCTCAGGGATGAATAACTGACAATCAGTGAATTGTCATTCAGGTGTTTCTGTTTTCATCTGTTTCCCATATTAACAATTTCTGAGCCTAGACTATACATTAAAATAGAGATGTGGTGTCAGACTGCATTTTTCCCAGGAGGCTCTTGAAGTTTTTAACAAGTCCAGCAGTCCAGGGTTCTTGGGGGGGTAGTATAGGGCATAGTTGCTGTACGATCGCAGGCCTAATACTATTGATGATAGTACTGGTGAATCGGGTACAAAAATGCTCCCACATTTTTTACCAGTTACACTACATTAGCGTGCTCATATTTGAATTCAAAATAGGAGACAAAAATCCTTCTTAGGTGCTTTTTTTCCATGTATGAAACTAAGTTCTGCTCTGGCTACAGAAGGGAAGGTCTGCGTTCTAAAGAGCCAGTGGCATTGTCAGAGCTTTGGGGAAAAAAAGATCTCAAAAGGAATATTGTATGCACCTTAGGCACACACACACAAAGAAGAAAGGGGAGAGAAAAGGCAAGAAAGACAGAAAATGGATGTAGAGACAAGGAAAATCATTAATTTGGGAGAAAAAAACCCCATAATTTTTATATTTTCAGTGCTGTGTGACACTGAGTATATCCAAATAGATCTTATGCTACTGTTAATGGATATTTCAGACCTTTACTGGTGCTTACAGAAGCAGTCTATACTTTTCCTCTGTAATATTTCTTTGTTAGTGCTCTAAATCCACCTGAAACTATGGATGAGGTTTTCTTGTTGGTTATTGGGCTTTTTTAGCTGTGTTTTGTCATTTAACCTTACTTTCAAATGCCGCATTTATAATATGATGACAATTTTAGAGAATTATTCAGTAAACTCAATCAGTCCAGTGTAATTTTCACATGGCAAAACCAATAGTATATTTCTAGAATATTTTTAATAATATGGTATAATTTTTTGTATCAGGTCAGTTTGTCACTGTCACTCTCTCAGAATAAAGGGGCCATAATAACACAAGGGAAGAAAAATACCTATAGATGAGAGGATGAAATCAAGATTAGGAGATGGCAACCTCCGGGCAAATTGTCATAGAATGTGGGCATATAAGATGTCTGAAATATTGACTGATGCAAAAAGTAGCAAAAGGTTTGCAGCAATAAAAATTAGACAACTTGCAGGTATTGCTTCACTTTGGAGAATTATTTTTGTATTTAAGATAAAACAGGCATAGTTTCAAAGCTGGTTAAATATTGCTTTATTTTTAGGCAAGAATAATGAACTGGGGATGGGAGAGATGGGAGTGAAAATTCGCCACAGAAATTTTTTGAAAGAAGAAAATTCAGAGTACTGTATTCTCATACTGTAAATACCAGTTTCATATTCTGCATCCTGAGATAATTGAGATAAAACTAGAAGTTTAATAAATACATTTTAATCAAGTTTTTCTGTGTCTATATTAATGTTGTGCTACTATAGAATATTTAAGAAACTGAAAAAAATTATTTGAGTAATTTCATGTCTCTATATCTGACTTTCTCAATATGAAGATTTATAAAGGAAAGAATTATCCAACACAGGGGGAGGTTAATGAGAGTAACATAAAATAAAAATTAATTTATTGATAGCTTTGGTTATCAATTTTTAAAATTTTTTTCAATCCCATAAAATCTATGTTGACTTCAGTAAAGCACTTGATATTATATACAGTAAGACAATATTCAATAAATATTGAATAAAAAGTAGAAGAATATTTGAATAAAAAGTAGAAGAAACAAAATACTGTCTTAAAAGGAACATGGTAAAAAAAAAAAAAATTGTGGTATTGCACCAATGAGCATGTCTGACACAGGGTTAGATAGTTCTCCAGATGAGAGAGGTATTGGGTTGTCATCACTGGGTGATCCTGACAAAGCAGAATAAAAGAAATGAAAATCAATAGCATGAATTACAAGATCATGCATCTTGATACTGTAATAAGGACCTTGGTCAAGAGATAAAAGATATTTTATTTTAAGTTAATCCGATAAAGTATTCCCAGAATAACTGGAGAAATTGTAATGCAAAAATTAAAGGGCTGGTGAGTCATCACCTGAAACACTGTGCAGAAATATTTGAAAACAGAAGCAGGTGAAGAGGCTTTCGGAATAATTGTGGTATTAGAAAAACCAGATTCAGAAGCCCTAAGAACGAAGTTGTTTTAACAATAAAAAAACAGATGATGTGAAATCTAATTATTTCTTATAAAAATAGCAGGAGGCATTCTGGAAGAGGGCTGTGAGAGCTTAGGGGGTATGAGCAGGTGTAAGTAGGAGATTGTTTAGGCACACATGCATTGTATTCAGCAAACAGCTTTGCTTTGTGGGCTTACTGACATTCAGAACCTCAGGGTTTGACTTTGTTTTTTTAACTAGCTTATGAGTTGTGTACTTCAGTTTGGCTTGGGTATATTTCTGAATTCTTCTAGGATTAGGGGTTAAAGTTAAGGAGATTTTTTTTCATTTTCTGCCATTCTTCTATGTCCCTTCAGATTTTATACCATGTCTTTCAGAGGCATACAAGAAAAGGTTGGCAATTATTTTATATGATGTTTTTTTGGAAGAGCTGGTTATAGTTAGAGGTTTGTGTTTTTTTTAAATCTGTTTTCACTAAATTGAAAGCTGCAAAGACAGTAGAACCAAACTTAATAGCAGCATATTGTGAACTAGCCTTTATTTGAGGCTGCTGTCAGAAATATAGTCTTAAAGGAAAATATGTCTAATAGTTATACACTGCTGAAATCAAAGGCATGCTGAAATCTTAAGTTCAAGAACAACCTAAGATCATGACAGAGGGAAAAAAACCTCTTCAGGACAAAATAGAGATGAAGATTCTTGATCAAATATGTAAATGTTCAATGTTAAAAAAACTGAAGTACTGAGTGAAAAACTGGCTTTGCTGAAAGCAAGAGCTTGAAAATCTCTGGTATAGAACCTGTTAATCAGCTCTAGGCTCTTAGTTATTTTGTTGGGTTTCTCATCTGGGTAAAAGAGTGTAGCTGTTACTCAGCTGCTGCCCGAAATTGGTGTAGAGGATTTTTTTTGTGGGTTGGGCTTTTGTATTGTTTTTAAATCAGTGTTCCTTGCCAGCTCTCATAATTTTGGCATTATGTACTATATGTACAATATGGATATGTCACATTAATTTATACTATGAACTCTTTATGCAAGACAAACAGTCTTGTGAAGAGTTCAGTCAGTAGTTAGACTACACATAAGTTGTTGTATTCTGTATTTCTTAGCATCAATGACGTAAAATGGTGTATGCCTAACCCTCAGATGCTTTTCACATCAGCAGATGTATGATTTTCTATTAAAATCAGTTTTTTTTCTGGGGCCAGTGAAGCAGTGAAGACTGAAACACGTCTTTGTCAACATTGTCAGCTTCTAATTTTAGCTATGCTCCCCAGACAAAGCAGTTTTTAAACTACTGAATCCAACTGACCTAACTGGTGATGATTTTGGCTTACCAATTGCCGAGTCAAAATGTGCAAGTCTAACATGCAATTGAGAAAGTAGTTTTTGAGTAACCAGAGGCATTTAAAAATGATGTTTACAAAGCAATTTTTCACATTGCCATGGATAATTTTATAGTTGTGTTAACCTTTCTGCCATGAATGGGATTGTAGTTGCTATTGAGCATTTTACTATGGTCATTTGGGGACTCTGTCAGGCTTGTATCAAGGGAGGATGTGTTTATTCTATGTATTTAATGTTTTCTCTCACATAACTATTTGGTGGATGAAATTAGGGATCTACTACAGATCGTATGGTAAGATGAAGGTAACTATACCTTTACAGATATTTACAGTATATTATGAATGAAATAAATAATTAAAAAGAAAAAAAGTCGTTAGACTAGAATTCACAGTGTGTTCTTACCTCTTTATATATTGCTCCTGTCGAACTTAAATAAATGTTGACTTCATAAATAATCGAAAATAAGTTTTAACCGATGGCTATAATACAGATCTAAGAAAGAATACATTCTAAGTATCCTAAAATTACTCTGGTGATCTTGATAGTTCAATCAACTATTTACAGATGAAGCATTCAACTTTACATGCATTGCTTTAAATGGATGAACGTTGTATCTTGCTTTTCCTGGCAGAGAAAACTTTCGCTTTTTTTTCATCCTTCTATAAATCCCTGATGTTTTAGCTCCACTCCTTTCTTTTTCCTAGGTCCCTGTGCTGCTCTGTTGTACCCTCTCAAATGCTTGGCTGGCACTTTTGCTCCAACACATTCTGTTGTTTTTTTTTTGCCATACATAGTGCTTTTAAACTAGAGAACTGAGGTTTGGGTTTTATGCATAGATATTTAATAGCCCAATTTTTTGTGTTTGGGAATCTTATTTTCTTCGTGATCGTTCATGAAAATGTTTGTATTTTCTGTTTTAACAGAATGAGATGGAGATAAGCTTTATGGTTCTTAGAATATCTTGAAAAATTTTTCTTTGGTTAATCAGAAGAGAAAGACTGGCATATGTATATCAGGTTCACTAAAACAGAGTGTTAATTGCAATGCGAAACCTTGGGCATAAAAACAGACATAAACACAACATTCAAACAGCATGCATCTAGTGAGAATAGGGAAGCTGCATAAGAGACAGCTGAACATTATAGAGTGACGTCCTCATCTTGCATAGTAATTTGTTCAGTGTGCTTTTATTGCAGAATTAACAATGTAGTATGCTGACTTGGGTAAGGTTTTAACTCTTGCATTTTGGAAACAATGATTTTTGTTTCGTGTGTTAACAGAATGAATGTTCTGTATTTTAGTCTCAGCAGAAAACCTGGAGAAGAGCCTCAAGCATATGGAGCGGCAACTTCAACAGCTTGAGAAGGATTTGCAGACTTTTCCAGTTCCTGAAGATAAGCATGATAAGTTTGTAGCAAAAATGTCAATATCCTTTGAGGCACTCACTCTTAAAAAACAAAACAAATCAAAAATCCCTTAGTGATTACTAAGTAATTTAAGTAATTTAATCCCAAAGAAATTTTAAATTTCTTTGCATAACTTCTGTCTAGTTTGTAGCATGTATTTTTGAAAAATCTGACTTGTTTTTCCTCTCAAAAATGAAATACATGTACAGTCCAATTAAAGGATTACTCTGAAGTGGAATGAATGAGGAAAAAATGCTTACTGTTGGCTTTTATAATGTATATGAGTTTCTTAACTTAGTAAAGAGAAGTTATAATAGGAATGTTAAGCACTGTAGTGTTACATGGCATTTTTGTATCAGAATCTCTTAGAAAAATATGTCTGTCACCCTGTGTCTCTTTGTTTTCTAGTGTATGCATTACCATTGTGAATGTTTCTGTATATGCAACCACAGAACCAGAAAATTTCTGTTATTTCAGAAATGAGATTCATAGTCCATGAAAACTGTTTTCTGGCATTATTTTTGCAAAAATTCTTTTTCTCGCTATTTATTCCAAATCATGCAGCCAACTTCACTGCTTGTCTTTCATAAGAACACCTTGTGAAATGAAGATAATTAATTAAAGTGGAAAAAAAGTAATTCTTTCACTTAAACCTCTCTAGCAAATGTTTGCCATGTATTCTTGGCACCAAGACTAATCTGGAAGCAGAAATATGAGCAGACAGGTTGAAATTTGCTCTGCAGGCATGGTTAGGTTGTTACCTAGCTGGAAGACTGCTCTGTTACGTACAAAGCCTGGAGGACTTGGGACACAGTCCTCTTGATTCATCTCATCCAATTACAAAAGCCATGGCAAATGACCCCGAGGCCAGGTAGATGTACTGGTTCTTCCTGTGTGAGGGCCAGTTCTGTCTTTGTTAGATGCACTGCAACCCAAGTGTTTGCAGCTTAAGTTCAGGCCTGCTGTGGCTGCTGTGTTGTTACAAATTTTTTGTAAAGTTGGGTATTTGTTGTTGAGTTTGTTCTGTTTAATGTGATGTGTTTTTTTCCCAGCTCAATGTGTTTTTGGAAAATAGATTGTAATCCCCCAGAATGATGTCTCTACAGTGTGAAACATAAGTTTGATCCTGAAGAAACTTACAGCATAATAGGAGAACTAGGAGATGGGTTCTGAAGACAAGAGATAAAATATTGCCAGGAAGTTAGAGGAAAATATATCCATGAGAGCTTTTGGAGAATATTGCTAGGACTCACAAAGTCTGCATTTTGTTTAGAAAATTATATGTACTCTAGGAAGTTTGGAATGGGAAACACTTGTTAAAAATTCTAAACTATGAAAAAGGACAGGCCCTTTTTTATCTGTTAGAATATAATAGACTATTTCAGTTGGAAGGGACTTGCAACAATCATCTAACCTGAAATAGTCATGATGCAGGGTCTTCAAATACCTTCTAACTTTTTGCATGTGATTTATATCCATTATATGCTAATACCAAACATCTAATATTTAAAAATTATGATGTGGGATGCCTCATTTCCCTTTGTGTTACTTTTTGGGCATTTATGAAACTTCCTGGCAGAAGTGAGTGGAATACTGTAATAAAAAGTTATAAATTATATTTAAGACAGAGTAGGTAGGTAGACCTTGTCAATAAGAAGCATAAACTTTTTCTGGGATTGAAATTCCATCTCCATATATGAAGACCATTAGAGCAGTTTCCTGATCACTTAAAATGGATAGTGATCATCTTAGGAAATGCAAAGGAGGACCTACAATTCATCTTTTTCAGGCATCTCAAAAGCTCTAATCCGCTAGAAAATATATGGATTATCAATGTAGGTTAAGAAGATAAGTCATAGCCATAAAGTTAAATTTGTTCTTTGCATCAGTTTTCTTTAGGGAGAATTTGAGTTGACCCTACTGTGTAATATTGTAATTGGAAGGATGATGTTAAATGAAAGAATCAGTAGAATTCTTTTTCTTAATATAAAATACATAGCAATTAATTCCCAGGAGTAAACAGTGGTCATAAAACACTTGAAAAAAATTCAAAATTAACTCAAATATAAACTTAATGGACTACAGACTCATACATGAACTAAGCTAGCTGGAGGCACAAAGGGATCATGCAATTGAGGAATTGTAGAATAATTTGGGTTGGAAGGAATCTCAAGGATCATCTGGTTTCAACCCCTCTGCTATAGGCAGGAACACCTTTCACTAGACCAGGTCAAAGCTGAAAAGAAGCCCACAAGTTTTTTAGAAGGGCTACAAGGAGGATCTTCAAGTCAGGCTTTGCTACCAAGAAAACTGATGAAGACTAAATACGAAATGAACATCTATTAATTGGAGGTAAAATGTGATGGCAGAGAGTCGTTGTGTGTTTTGTAAAGAGAAACCATCCTTTACAGGTCTATTGCAGCATGCAGATAAAGATAAGAAGTCAATAGAACATAACTGAATTTCCATCCATGTTTCTATAAAGTGTTTTCACAGGGACTTATAAGGAAAGAATTTCTTAGATTAAAAAGTGTTTTGATTACTTTTTTTTTATTATTAATATCTTTGAAAAAAATCTTTACATCAAAGGGAGATACTGGCAGATGCTGACAAAGCAACAAGTGAACTTCAGTGATTATAGACTAATATATAGAGTATATACTCTGTATAATATGTACTCTGAGTAATTATCTGATGTTGGAAAATCAAAAAAGTTAAGAAAATACAGTAAAGATACTTGTAATTTTGTGTTCCATGAGAAGGAAAGAGAGGAATATATTCTTCATGTCTTTAATTAACCATGGGTTCATCCCACATGAAATACTGTCCATCAGATTAAAACACACTAACAGAAATGTTTTAATGGACAACAGACAATTAAACTGAAAACGTGAATTAATTTCATGTAAGGCCTAGATAGGTGGCTAACAGTAGCCTAGAGGCAGCTTTAGCTCAGAAGAATGACTAACATACAGATTGCTAGAAACTGACTTATCATGCTATATTTGCTAAGTTTTATTTCCTCCTTGTTTTTCCTAATTGTTGGGTATTGACTGCTGTCAGAAACTGGCAGAAGAAATATTTAGTCTTACTTAGAATAAATCAGTTAAGGTAAAACCAGCTGTTAAAATCTGATTAATGACCTGAGAATATATGCTGAAGTCAATAATGCACATTTTATTTAACAGTAAATGTGGGTCAGTAGGGGGAAAGGAGAATGTAAAGCAGAAGATAGTCCCCACATGTGGATCCAATGGCATGCTGTTAGTCTTCCTTCACCTTGGGCTTCTTGGTTGTGGTGTGTCCTGAGGTGGTTAAAACTTTTCGCTATTTATACATTTTAGCAAACAAATGAATCAATGGTCATTGGCTACACAGTTCTCTTGCTGTTAGTCCTGTGCTCAGTCTTTCTCTTCATTTGAGTCCTGCGTTTTTTGGTACAGTGGGTTGTGATCTTCCCCTGCCAGAATTACCTTGCATTCAGCTGGAGCTGATTTCAGCACAGTTGATGAGTTGGCTTTCCTAGTCAAAAGGAAATGGACTTTGACTTGGAATTTGTTCTTTCTAGAAATTCTGCATTCTTTGTGTCCATTATCAGTGATCTATTCTTCTCCCCCATCTTTGTTACCTTCCCCTAGGTCTGAGATAACACCCAACAATAGTACCAGCTTTATCTTATCTTGAGTTCCTGTCACAGTGGCTTAATTTATAGTCCCTAGGAGGCATATTTGTGGAAGGGCATCTTCAGTTAGTCAGAGTTGCCCATTTATCCCATAACTTGGAATGATCTTTGTTTGAGCAGTGATATTTCAATTGCAGTTGCTTCTTTACACAGATTTCCACAGTGGGAATTGTTGTCTGGATGCATTAACCAGGATTTGCTACCCAGATCTCACCTCTGCCAGGTTAGAAACATCCTGTTGCTCCCTTCTGTTCTTGCCTCGTGGCAAGGTTCTTCTATGGCGTAAAGAGTGTTTGAGACAGGCAACTGTGCTCTTTAAGTCCTTACAATAGCCATACTACATATTTAATTGTATTAGACTATTCAAATACAATATTTTGAATAGTAAATATTATGAACAGAAATAGTTTACCCTCACCTACTACCTGACCCAGCAGTCAGACAGCAATTTCTAAACAGCATAGTTGCATACAGTTTTTAGTCATGTCTATGAACACACTAATTAAAGCAGCTCACTTTTAAGAAAATAGGAACTTCAATAAATTACGAAGCAGAAGAGGTTTGATGTAAAGTTTAGATAATCCTTCACAGCATGATGAAACCTGGACAAGTCTTTACTTTTATTCCTATGACAAGGAAATCTGAATGGTGATGATGTCTTGAAAAGCATTTGGCTCATCAAAGAAACCAGCAGAAAGGCTTAAAAAAGGAGGCTAGTACTTTGTAGAAAATAATTTTTCATCCTGAGTACAATTAAGCTCTATGGACAAGCAGACCATTACATCCTGTCGCTAAATATCACAACCCAAAGCCCCCTAATGAACTGATTAACATTCTTGTTTCTTTAGGAAGTCAGAGACATGCACAGTTGGTTCACTCTTTTATTGACAAAGTCTGTAATCATGAATATTTCTCCTATATATTAGATTGTGTTAATTTGTGAACCATTCTGTGTATGCTAGCTGAAAAGAAATAGTTATTATCTCAATTCTTCTGTTTCCTTTAATTAGGGAAGTCAAAGAATATTGAATTGATATTGATCTAATGTACTAAATCCATCGAATTAAATGTTCCATAAAAAGCACAGTGAACAAAATACCCTTGTACGTTCAAAATAAAAATTTAGTGGGTTTAGGGAGAGTATTTAAATTGCATATTAAAAGTTTAATTAAGTGATTTAGTCAACATGCTGTTTATCAATACAGCTCCCATCTTCTGATTTTCTAAGCACCAGCTGAGAAAGTTTGAGCTTACTGATAAAAGTGATGTTGATGGTATTCTTTTACAGAAACTTATGGAACTAATACTTGAGAGACAATCAGCTGTTGCTGCTTTTCAACTAGGAAAAATGTCCTTTCTTTTGATCAATTAGCTGTTCCTTTGCCATTTAATTTGATTTGTTGACATTGTAGAAGAAGGAGGAAGAAACAGCACATAAATAAGTCAGAGCCTTCACTACCAGATGAGGTAAAAGAAACCCATTTCTGCTGCAGGGAAGGGTATTGCTGCCTCCAAACTGTTGGTTACTTAATTGACCTCATAGTTTGAAGTTCCCCCTGTGCAACATAAACTGAATCTGTAAGATGTCCTTGTATCCTAAGGACTTTGTGGATTACAGGACCTGAGCTCTTCAGGTAAAAAAAGATTGTGAGTTGCTCTTTGGTAGAGGGTCAAGATGTTAACTGTGTGGACAGGTAATGAGATAGGGCTTTGTCAACCAATGTGAATTTAATTTAAATCTATGCTTCTTTTAATATCTGGTCTGGACTTAAGGTATATATTATAGCTAGCATTGGTTTTACTTGTAATATATGATACATACACAGTGGATGCAGTAGCTTTTTGTGATACAAATACTTGGCCACTTTGTTTAGTATTGTAACATAGAGATAAGTAGAAGTGAATCAAAGAGAAGCTATTATTTGACAAGTACTCTTCAGAAGGTACTGATTTAAAAATATAATAATTTCTATGTGTTTCTTGAACTATTATTTTCAGATACAGAATTTTTCTGTTGAACTTTGGTATATGTATATAAAACAAATTCTCTTTGACATGTATTTTTCAGACAATTGCAATTATTTTCCTAAAATGTGAGAAATCCTTAACAGAGTCCTACAACATTCACTCTGCTTGCTCTTAGTAGAAAATTATTTGTTGAAATGGTTGGAAGTGACCTCAAAGTCTTTTGGCATCAGTCTTCAAAAGGTTTGCCATGCTTTGTGGGGGCTGTTGTCATCTAGTATATGGCAGTCTTAGTTCCCTTTTGAAGATTCTGCTAAAACACAAGTAGTCAATATTAGGGTCTTTTAAGGAAGTGTTAAGTAGAGATTAATGTTATTCATCATCTTTTCTAGAGTAATAGCTGCTTTTACTTGGGATTGTTATGCTGCACTATATTAGTATTTTATATACACAATGTATTAAAATCAGTATGAACTTCAGACAACCAATTCACTGTGAAAAGAGCTGCCAGGATATGCAAGACCAAACATATAGCAGTTAAAAATTTTGCCACAGATCTTGTTTCAGCTGTGCAATGCTGTCCTGTTACATTAATTAGCAGAATGATCTGTAGTTCAATGATTCCAAAAAGGCATTCCATGAAGTAAAACCACTTCAGAAAAATTAACAAATACCAAACTACTTGATTTTGTTTTCTTCCCACCTGTGTTGCAGCTCAGTTGTACTTCTGTCTTCATTCATCCAAGACCAATGAATTGTGTAGTTGATAATGTGTATGTATCAACCTGTTCATAATAATTACAGTTGGGATTGCTTTACGCAGTAGTATTCCCTGGTGTTTCCAGTTTAGCTAGAGTCGGCTAACAAAAGCCATATTTAGGGAGAATAGGAAGAAGAGTTATTAAAAGTACCTAAATTGCAGCACAGTCTCAGTAGAATGCCAAGAGCTTAGGGGTATCCCATAATGCACTATATGGAAAATAAAAATCTCAGGATTCATTGTGTCTGGCGTTGAAATACTAGATAGCAAAACATCTTGCCAGAATACTGTTGTTTGTGTTTAAAATTATGCATCAGATATTCAAGAGGAGTCAGTTTTCAACAGTGTAAAATTAACAAACTTGTATGGACTTTATTAACATAGCTATAATTTTAGCTGTGTCTTGAAGAATATCACAGAAATTTTCTCTCACTTCCCCCACTCCCCAGGTTTTCTTTTCAGGATATTTTTTGTAATTTACAAGATGAAGTCTACATTTTACTGATAATTTCAACCCTTTTTTTTTTTGTTTGTTTTTGCTTCCTAGAAAAGTAAAAATACTGGAGTGTTTAATATCTGGCATTTATGTAAAGAGACAGCAAAATAAATTTATCTAATTTTCCTTTTCCCTGCACTCTGTGGAAATAAACACCCTCATAATTGCAAAAACCTCTATTTTTTCATAAGATCTGTTAATAGTAATAGAATCACATATAATAAGTATCCTAAGTTTTAGTATCAAAATTAAACCAGATGTCAGAATTATTTTTTCTAGTTTCACTCTTTTTTTGTTGTTTTGGTTTGTTTGTGTTTTTGTGAACTGGTGACATTTCTTTTGATGGTCTTAGTTTGTCTTTTGTCATGTCTTGTTTCACAGAATCCTTTTTTATATAGTTCTTGGGCAGCATTTATAGACAAACTTCTCATCAACTTTCTTTGATTTCCTACCAATAGCTTTTTAAGAGTCTGAATAATTTTTTAAGAATCTCAAGATCAGTTTCCTGTTTGCTATGCTCATCTTGGGAGCTGAGTAAAGGCAATTCAAAGTGATGTAGAAGAAGAGGGCTGGCAGCATCAGTTCTCTTTGAGCTGTTGCCAGCCAGGCAGCAAGGCAGTCTGGAGCTGCTTAGGAGCTGCGTCTTGTGAAGTTACTAAAAGCACGAAAAGAAGCTTGTACTGGCAAAAGAGCCATATTGAGAAAGTCTGAAATTAGGTGGTCTGAAATTGGGTGATAGAAGATGTATATTTTTAAATTGTTGAATCTTGACTTTAGTTAGTCCTTTTTCACAAGACTGTAGTAGGGGAGGCTGTTCTGCACTTACATAATCAGTTTGTAGCCATTAGTGACTAATTAGAATATTGTGAAAGTGTGTTATTTCTCCCTTCCTGCATATATCTGAGATCATTATTGTGTGAATTCTGGCCTGGATTCTAAATCACAAAAAAAACCCCAAAAACAGAACAGTAACTGCTTATTTGTTATTTTTAAAGCAACCTTAACAAACCAGAAGGACACTTAACAGTACAACTGAAATGTAATTCAGCTTCTAAACAAAACTAAAAAAGAAGCATTTCAAAAAACCTGAAGAGTGAAAACAGTCATCCAGCTGTAAAATGTTATTGTATACTGGTCACTTGTGGAGTTCCCCAGGGCTCAGTACTGGGGCCGGTCCTGTTCAACATCTTTATTGATGATCTGCACTACAGGATTGAGTTCACCCTCAAGCAAGTTTGCTGACAACACGAAATTAGGTGGGAATGTTGATCTGCTGGAGATAGAAAGGCTCTGCAGGGGGATCTGTGCAGCCTGGGACAATGGACTGAGGCCAATGGTATGAGATTCATTAAGAAAAAATGCTAGGTCCTGTTCTATTCTGTTGGTCTGGATTTTCATGCACTAGATTAAAAATTCTGTGCTTCATAAAGTGACCATAGAGTATTTTTCTGTAGTAGAAAGTGTACAAACACAGTAAATTCTCTTTTGCAGTAGTTGAGGTGGGCAATTAAGAGTAAAGATGAAATTGCTATTTCTTGTCTTTTGTAGCATTCACTACAGCAGAAAAATAATGGAACATAAATATTTGTTTAGCTACCATTCTGTTAAAGTACACGCTTCCTGAAGTTGCCCAAGATAAAGAAATGCTTATGTAGAATATTTTGTCTTTGAGCTTCTTTGTCAAACTATGTTATTGGAAGTTCTGAATAAACATAGAGGTTTTTATTTTATATGCAATATTTTGATGCTGTTTATAAATTGTTTATCTTTTATATAAGTAGCTTTATTGCTTTCACCTCTAATTTAATTAAGTTGTGTTGACATTGCAAATAGCCTTAAAAAAGCATAAATACCTAATGCAGCCTTCAGGAACAGAAATAAATATATTGCTGTTACAATGAAGTTTTTTATCTTTCATTATTTTTACTTTTAATACTGTTTATCAGTATTTCTGTTTCTACTCTAATTTTAGTAGGGACTGTAGTATTTATTGATAAAGTATTCAAGTTAATTATTAATATCTGTACCTAAATTCCAAGGATATTGTAATTTATATACCTAAGCATTTAGCTTCAATAAGGAGAAAGTGATACTAAATAAGCTACATGGGTGCTTGAAGTTAGATTAGTTACATACATTTCATTTAATTGCATAAGAAATTATGTAGTAATTGAATAATCTTTAAATTTAAAGTGGTTGAGGTATTTTGATAAAAGTCCCTGAATTTATTCATAGGCCTAGTATACATAGTAAATACAACATGGAAAGAATTGTTTTGTCCTTATTTGAGGAAGTAAAAAATGTGTATGACATACAAATTAATGTTAAATGAAAGCAGTATGTTTGATTGGATTCATTGAGTATTCTTGCAGCCTTAACAGCAGTGTACAGCTTCCTAGATCATGCCAAAGAAGATTTTCAGAAACTTTCACGGATGCATGAGAACATGGAAAAACTCTATCAGAATGTGATGGGGTATTATGCCATTGACCTGAAGAAAGTTTCCGTGGAGGAGTTTTTAACAGACTTAAACAACTTCAGGATGATGTTCATGGTACAATATGTTTATTTTATACATAATGTTTCTTAGAAGTTATATTTTGTAACCTTATTTATATGTATGAATTTGGATAATAAGCTGATTTCTGTCACACCTGGCTTCTTATGATGACATAGCTTAACTTACTGACTACACTCCTGCAGGAGTATTGTATGATCATGAGTTTTGTGGCAAAATCTGGAGGAGTGATCCAGCAAATGCCTATAGATCAAAAGAAAGAAAGATCGAAAGATTCACTTAGTCTTTTCCACCTACTCCTGTTTGCAGCCTGGTCATTACAACTTATTATTACAACACATGTATTTAGGTTGCTTGCATGTTTCCAGTCTTGTTTGGTTTTATTTGGTTGGTTGGGTTTTTTAATGTTTTCAGATTATAGGTGGAGAAAACTACTTCTTTCACAAGTACTGAGAAACAGTTTGAAGTTCATATATCTACCAGTTTTGAAGAAAGTGCTTAAACTGAAACCCATATTTAGCAACCATTTGGAGCATGTCATGATTACTAAGCCTCTGCTGCTTCAGAGTTTAACAACTAAAACCCTAGATACTATTCAATTGCAATAATTTTGCTTGACAAGTTATATATGCCAGATTTTTGGGAACAGGGACATTAATTCTGTTTTCCTAACTTGATCAGTGCCTAATACAAAACTCAGTAGTCTGATTTCAGAATTAATAAATATTACAAAGTAGTTGTATTATTTTAATTTCTAATGTTTAAACCATACCTTCCATGTAAATGTTGTAGAAATTTAAATGCTTACGTTCACGTTGAGTTGGAGGCTCTAGGAAAGTGGATGTGCTTTGCATTAATTTTCCCATATTTCTTCTTTGTCTTTTTAAAATTAGCACTGATGATAGCTTCTACTTCACAGCAGTTTCATAAAGATAGGTTAATTAATGCTTCAATACAGGTATTATTGATGAGCATGATAGAAGGAACCTTGAGGAAAATTAACAATTCTATCTTCCAGAGCAGTTTGAAGGCTGTATGAAAAAGATGGCATGAAACCCCTTATAATTCAATGACACCAATCAAAATCTTGAATAGCTGCTCAGTTTTGAGACTTTTCAGAAAATATTTTTGAGATGCCTAGCATGAGACATATGAGCTGATTTTCATGATTGTTTAATATTGGGGTTTATTACTGACAGAAACTGAAGGTGATGGTTATATTAGAAAATTTTGTTCAGAAAACTTGTAAATTTAGTGCTAAAAAAATCACTGGATTATTAAGAAGCTCAAACTAAAAGATGACTCGTCACCAGTAGGTATGGGAGAGTGAAGTTCAGTCAACTTGTCATGCAAAGTTTATGATTTACATGAAGTATTTTCCTATTTATAGTTATTTTTCCATTCCTAATTAATGAAAATGTATTAAAAAGTTTTAAAAATCTCTGTGTTTAAATTTGGAGCCCTACACTTGAGTTTCGTAGCTAACTTAGATTTGCACTTTGTATTTCAGTGTTATTTGGTAGCTGTGACAACTATTATTCACATTCTATTAGCACCACATCTAGAGTACAGTTACTTGGCCAGATCCAAAAAAAGGGCTGAAGCATCTTGTCTTCAGAGCTTTAGCTTCCACAGCTAAATTACTGGTACACTCGGTGGAATATCTTAGATATTAGATATCCCTGTAAACCTCCCTCTATACTTTCACAGCATCATGGGTACTGCTAACAAGTTCATTCCTTTCCTTGGATGGATAGCTTTCATGATGAAGAAATTGTTTAATGGTTAGAATTTTCCTCCAGTTGTAGGAAAGGGAGCAAACACACCTTGAGGTAACAGTTCTTCTGTCCAAGACGAGGCTAATCATAGGGTGCAGAAACCCCTTGCTCCTATTGCCACTAGGTTACTCTTCAGCAGAGACATAACTTAAAGAACCAGAAGAAGAGCAACCAGAGTGTTCCCTAGACTCTATTTTTCCTTTATATGAAGCAAATACTTAAATAAAAATTAGAAATTACCCTGGAAATCACAAAAGAGAACCCAAGAATGCCTCCAGTTTGGAGAATCTAGGTCTTGGCATTCCACTTACATTTCCTGTTGAAAACACATGGGACGGGTAGGATAGAATTTGGCCTTAGGGCATATTTGTATGAGAGTTTGAGTATCTAATCTTCTGATTTAGGCAAGGGAGATGCATTCATTTAGTGGAATTTGGAGAGCTGTCTACCTGATGTCTCAAAGGAGACATAACAGAAGTACCTAGCATCCTGGGGAAGTCTCTTAAATAGTACCCAAGACATCATCAGCCTGAAATTTTAAGCTTTGACATAGAATTTATGGAAAATTGGTTTCCTGTTGGAGAAGGGCTGGGGCCAGGTGTGATATTCCAAAGCATCCAATTTCCACTGCATATGAAGGTATAAACTATATAAACAGGCTCACTTGTTTAATGTGATAAAAAAGAATAGACATCTACATTTGAATGACTGCAGTCTGAAGCTGAGTCCTACTGATAATATTTTTGGGGGAAAAAGTAGGTGCAAAGTAGAAATTTGTTTGGTCACTCTATTAGGAAAGAGTGCGATTTCTGCCAGTATTGTACTTGTCAAGTACCAGGTCCCATTTGAATTTTATCCAGTGGTTTATCTAGTAGTTTATTCTACAGAATGCCCAGTCTGAAAATCAGCAAATCATTTGTCAAAATTAATTCAATCAAAAATTTTAGAATTTTGTGTGAAGCATCTACCCTCCTCCCCCTGAATCAAGAAATTTGACAGAAGTGACTTTGGAGGAGTCACTGTGAAAGTACAGCTTTGCTTTGTATAAAAAATCCATTTCATTGTCATTTTTTTCATGATGGAAAGCTTATTCTTCTTCAGCTATCCAACACGTGCATTTCTTCACAATCTTTATGTGATTTTTTTTCCCCCCCTTCTTTTGGTCACTCTCTATGGCAGTGATACTGCAAACAGTGCCTATGTGCCTGTGCAAGTATTGCTGTAATCTGCATTTGTCTGTACTATGTAATACTTGTCAGTCCATTCTTTTTTCCCAAGTGCAGTCTGGATGTTTTCTCTCTAAAAACAAATGAGACATTAATTATCCCAGCAAACTTGAAGCTTTTGCCTCTGACCTTGTGAAGATGTTAGCCATTTTGTAAGAGTGGACAGTTTAATATATTATCAAAGACAGGGTTCTAGATAGCTGTTCTGAAAGAAACAACTTTCTGCAATGAAGAATAGGTGCACTTTAATGCAAATGTAAATTCTTAGAGCACTGAGAAGTTACCAGTGTACATAGCTAACATTAAAATAATGAAAAGGTAATCCCAAAATACTTTTGTTAAAAATATATTGAATGTAATAGAGTTCTTTTGCTTAATTTCTGAATATGCAAAATTTTTTTATTTCAAAACTCTGAAACTCATTGTTTCGTTTTAGCTTCACTGGAAGTTTTAGAGTGCATATTTATAATTCTAAATAAACAGTATTGTACGCATATTAACCAGACTTTTAAAATCCAGAATTAATGCATATGTTAATAAGAATAAGAAAAATGCAACACTTACCCAGGTAGCCTTGTTTTGCTTGGTGTACTGGCAGCATGAGAAAGAAGAAAGTATTGAAATTGTTTTAGAACTACAGATGCTAATATACAATTTTGTAGAACAAGGTGGTTTAGACATTTTGAATTCTTCCTACATTAACATGAGTACTCTTAAGATGTATTTCTTGCTGAATTTATAATTCTCATTTTGGGACAATTAGTATAATTTTAACATATTTATTTTTGAATTTGCTTTCTCTTCTGAATAAAATGTTCTAAATATGGAATGTGAAATACTTACTTGATTTGATAAATTAAGGTTAGGGGTTACAGTTTGAAAGCATTTTTCTTTGTTTTTAAGGTTCAGCTTTGTTTTTGCTAAGACTTCCATTTTAATGGAACTCTTACTTTTTTCATAGCAAGCAATAAAAGAAAATATGAGAAGAAGGGAAGCAGAAGAAAAACAAAGACGTGCAAAAATAGCTAAGGAGAAGGCAGAAAAAGAAAAACTAGAGAGACAACAAAAGAAAAAACGCTTGCTAGAAATGAAAACAGGTAAGTGATACAGTAAACATATTTAACCAATCATTTTACTGGAAATAAATCTTCTGTTTTTTCCATTTTCTGAGTGTGCTGTGAGGAAAAACAAAATAGATTAATTCTTTTTCACTGATTAAAGTTTTCAGCAAAGAGGTGTTTAAATTTTGGGTTTTTTTAATGGACTTTCCTAATCGCCTGGGGTTTTGAGTTATAAAATAACTCAAATTTCTGCTTTTTATTTTTCCCTTGGAATATGTTGAACCTTGTGTGACAAAATGTAAGTTCAGTTATGCTCAAAACCCTTTATGTTACTTGAGAAAAGGCATTTTCCAAATCACAAAGCCATTTTCTTTAACTAAGGTTGCGTACTCATTTTTGTTCTTTTGTAAGAATAAGCTCTTTGTGAATTACTTGGTATTTTATTTCGATTATATCAATTGTTATTTTAACAGTTCCCTATTGAAACACCTCAAAAAACCCCTCAGCCATGCATTTTAAAAGTTACTCATGCTATATTGTCTTTTGTACCAAAAGAGATGGCAGATGCTGTGAGTTTTCTGTTATGAAAAGAGGTGTCTGATGATCCTCTATATGCTGTATTTTATTCTCGACTGAGCTTCTGTAGTCCTTCAGAATGATACATGACTTACTGTGCAAATTGCCATGAGCTTCTCTTTTTTCTTTTCCCGAGCAGATCTTGTTAAACAGTTCCCTACCTAAAGCCTGGCTGGCACCTTTGGCATAAATGATTATCTGTCTCTTCCAGTTTTCACTAATAGCCAGAGTAGGTGTGCTTAGTTTCAGAGATGCTTCAGACTAAAAGTCTTTGATTCATTTTTATATGCCTGTCCATGTTTTGAGGTGTGAGTCTAAAGCTTTCTTATGGGAAATCAGGCAGCTGCTCTCTGAACACAGAAATTCTAATTCTTTAGAAGTACAATTCAAGACCCAGTCAGAAAACCACAAGTGACAATCTTTTCAATGCTCATAGAAGATAGAGGAGGCTGCAGAAGACTACGAAGGGGTAAAAGTGGTGTCTGTATTTATGCATGGCTGGAAATGTTTCAAACGAGATTTCTCTCAGACATGTTGTATGTATGACTGATAGCATTTTGGCTGGAAAATTGATTGTCTTTCAGTCCAAGTTAAAGCTGCTCTCAAGTCCTCTTCTTCATAATGTCATGTTCAGTCTTCCCAGATGCCAATGTTGGAGACTTATGTGTTATGTACACGTGTGTTTGTAGGCCTCTGGATAGTGAACCCTTCCACTTCAGCTGATGTGGCAGGGAACTAAATACTTGTCCTCTAGTTGTCTTTAAGTAGCCTGGGGTTTTGAAATCGTGCAAGTGTATAGAAAGATGTTTCTTCTCCTGTGAGTAATTGAAGGTTCAGTTTAGAATGGCTGATCTAAAGAGCAGATAGTAGAAGATGGTGTTAGGGACACCTCAAGCTATAAATGTTTTGAGCCTGATATGACTAAATTGGCCACTGATGAGTTATAAGGTTTCTTGTGCCTTTTTGCAACATATTTTTAAGTATACTAGAAAACCTGAATTTTGGGAGAGGGAAGGAAAGCATATGTGGTAGATTTGTTTGTCAGGGAGGACAACAACAAATGTGTGAAAAATGGGGTTGTTTTGTGTTTTTAATGATGATTATTGTTATTTTGACAGTCTTACCAAAGCTGCACTTACAGTATTTAACTGGAGGCATAATGTAGCTCTGATTTTTTGGAATTATATAGATAATTAAAAAAAAAAAAAAGGTGTTTTTTTTTCCTAGCTATGGCTTGTTCATTGAAAGGCTGTCTTCTCATTAAGAATCTGTAAATCAGTCATGTCTGATCTGCTAAAATTTCATAACCAGTCCTGTCTGTCAAAATATCAAAACACTCTTACCTAAAGTGTGACTGTAGAGTAACTGATTTTTGCTGCCTATTATTTCTTTATAGGGTGATTAGATCTCATGTTAGATTTGTAGGAACATTATTTCAAATATTGCTCAAGTAAAACTCATTGATGTAACCAACCCAGAAGTTATTTTTGGGGTTTCAAAGAGGTGCATACTTGGTAGAAGAAAAAAGATGAGAGTATATATGCTAAATGGTTCTTCAATATTTTTTTTTCTCAGTGGATAGATCATAGTGTATTCTACATCTCAACTATTTTTTTTGAGTAACATGGCTTTTTAACTGAAAATTATTTTAAGATTAGGAATGGCTATGTGCTACTTCATGGTTTCTTAATTGTTTCTCCTAAACTTCTTTTAAACACTCTAAGAAGCAGTGACAGCAATAAAAATCAAAATAAACAACAAAAACAATCAGAAAATAATCCAATCCCACTTTTCTGGGTTGACAGTCATTAGCAGCACTGGTTGTGCTATTATCTTACCCGTGTCACTATAATTATTTCTTAGTACCTATCAATCACTACCTCTGCGTAGTCTGTCTTAATGTCTGTGTCCTAAATTAAATGTCCGTATAAAATCCCATGGAGTTGATACTGTAGTGTTGGTGATGATGGCTACCCATGATATTTCTAGCTGACAAGATGACATATTGAAATTTCAGAGGTTTTATGCAAGGGAAGCTAGAATGGAAATAGATTTTTTTTCATACTCTACCATCTCGCTTTCCTTCCCCATGCAGAGTTTTGGATCTTAGACTTTTATGAAATGGTTTAGTTTCTAGATAGTTCAAATACTCTTGTTGATCTCTAGGTTAGAGGATGTAAAATGCTTCAGGGTGTGTTAGTTCCCCAGGCCACAGCAATGCCTTTGATTTTCTCTTGCTTAGCTGCTGTTCCTTTTCATGAGGTAAAAGAAATCTTTCACAGTGCTTGAGGTTGTGCTTTTATTCAATGACTGTTAATTAGAAATTAGTGACTACTTTATGATTCTGGAACTTCTCTTTCAGCCTATACTTCATACCTTTCAAGACCTGAGGTGCTATCCAGTGCTTAAACAGGATTTGTATCATCATCCTAAGCTTGTATTGTTAACCACTGGTCTCATTTACAACACAGGCATCTAACCTTCCCCAGATTCTGCTTTGTTCTTGAAGTCCTTTTCTTTGGGTTTCTTCATCTTTCATCTGCTTTTGGAAGCTGTTTGAAGAGCAGGGTTTTATTGCCTGTCATGCTACATTTGGCTTCATGAGGTGGAGGAAACTACTTTTGCATAAAAGTAACCTACATAATACTGCAAAAGTTTCTAGTTACTTGGGGGGTATTTGCTGACTCTTTTGCATAGACAAAAACTTAATATAGAATCATGTAATAATAGAATACCAGGGGGCTGGAATGGACAATAAACCCCAGTCCCTCTGCCATGTGCAGGGACACTTACATCATATGATTACATCATATGTAACGAAATATAAATTTTATTAAAATATACCCAGTATGTGACTTGAGTCATTAAACTCATTTGCATATAGCATGTTAGGACTGTATTTATACCAGTTTTGAATGAACTACAACAAAAACAAATTAAGACTTCAAAGGTCATATTAACCCAAAAAGAAAATCAATCTGGATTAAAGGTAACTCCTCAGTTTTAGTTTAAACTAATTTTTTCAGGATGAAAACAATAATTTAATTATCAGTAATTGAAATTTTTGGCAAATATGAATCCCAAGGTAGTCCTGTAATATATTGGCCATCTCACAAACTATAAACTTTCTTAGCCTGCATTGTGTCTTTGATACACAGGCAACAACTGAGTCATCTAGATCACAGGTATGCTCTGTCATCCATACTTATATATCAGGCTTTTTTTGCCATATTGTTGCACCAAATTCAGTGTGGATACGGCAATTTTCTAAAATTAGATAAATATGTGTACTTTGTGAAGTTTTAAATTCAATTTTTTAAATCTCTCAGATATAAATATATTAATATTTTATAGTTCGTGAGGTGTGTAATGTTTTATGAATACACAGTACAGCATGTTTTAGAAAAAACCTGAACATTTTAGGTAGGCTTTACAATATAGATTTTAACCTCTGCTAATAAGACCACAGATTTCTCTTAGTATATAGAATAGTTTCATTTACCCTCTTGCAAATTGTTTTTGAGATTTGGACCTGCAACCAGTGTCAGATTTACATACCTCTAAACTGTAGTTTGCTAAAAGTCTCTATCTCTACATCTTAGCAGCACCTACATGTCCTAGTGGTCACAGCTCAAATAGTTCACTGATAAAGATGGCTGTGAGTCTTCAGTTTATGTAGTAAAAGTATCAGCTTCATATTGTCCTTTCAGCTCCATCCTAACTTGAAAAGTAAGTGGAATTCAGTAAACATTTTTACTAAGTAGTGAGTAATACTTAGCGTTTTGAAATTTTTGTAAATAAAATATATCCACCAAATATTCTCTGGACTACAAAATTATATTCATCATGAGATGCTTTACTTGCTTTTGTGAAGCCAAATCAAATTATCACACACTACCCTTCCAAAGGTGAATAGCCAGTGAAAGGGGATCTTTATGTAAATGCCACTTGTCTGCATAATATTAACATTCAGATACATACTTTCTCATGCTGTTCAGATTCTTAGTAGAAGCACACCAATCAATTATTTTGATCTTATCAGAATGTAAAGAATTCTATAGCTGACATAATAGCAGCTAAATTTATTGTAATATAATTGAGAACTCCATCATTGTGGCATTTTCATTGTGTCTTACTTTGAATACTATTTAAGTAACAAGCCACTTTTATCAGTGGTTATTTACAAAGATTGCCCTTTTCTTGCATAAAAGCAGTGAAATACTGCCAAAATTGAATATCTGATTTCCAATATAGGATATTAGTTTGTTTTCAGTTGGGTTATTCAGTTTCATTTTTATCATAATAAGCTGGTTTTAAATAAGTTTTAGTTCATTTAAACAGTTAGGTCCTATTTACAGTCAATTTTGCAGGATTTATTTTTGCAGAGGTTTTATATTGTTTATCTCATTTCAGAAAAAAAAAAAACCACATTCGTGTCTCACAAACTTGCTAAGAGCATT